TATATGAGGGTGTACCTGAGTGATTGTGTAGATATATGAGGGTGAACCTGAGTGATCGTGTAGATATATGAGGGTGTACCTGAGTGATCGTGTAGGTATATGAGAATGGGCAGTGGTGGAACTGAGGTTCTGGGATGCTGTGTGGTCTCTCTGTTGTGTATCTGTTATGGCCAACAGTGCGTTATGTACATATGTGTACATAATGCATGTGGAGGCCAGAGGACAACCTCCAGGGATGTTCCTCAGGTGCCATCCACCTTAATCTCTTTTTAAATTATGTGTATGTGTGTGTCGGGGGAGAGGAGTATGCGCAGTGAGCACAGTGCTAGAGAGGTCAGATTCCATGGGTCCTGGGTTACAGGCATGTGTCACAGGGGTGCTGGGGACCGGATGAGGTCCTTTTCTTTTTCTTTCTTTATTATGTATACGGAAGAGGGAGCCAGATCTCATTACAGATGGTTGTGAGCCACCATGTGGGTGCTGGGAATTGAACTCAGGTCCTCTGGAAGAGCAGTCGGTGCTCTTAACCTCTGAGCCATCTCTCCAGCCCGAGGTCCTTTTCAAGAGCAGCAGGTGCTCTAAAGCACCGGGCTGCTTCTCCAGCCCCTCCTTTCTTTTAGTTTTGAGGAAGGGTCTCTCACTGGTCTGGCACTCATCTAACAGGTTAGGATGGTTTGCCAAGGAGCCCCAGGGAGCTACCGGTCTCTCTGCCTCCCTTGTGTTGGAATCAAGTATATATGCCCTGGCTGTCCTGGGATTTACTATGTTGTTATGTAGACCAGGCTGGCCTGGAACTGCAGAGATCCACCTGCTTCTGCCTCCTGTTAGGATTAAGGGCAGGTGTGCCGACACACCCACCTCTCTCTTTTTTGAAGTGTGTCCTGGGGCTGAAACTCAGGTCCTCTTGCTTGCAAGGCAGGCACTTTACTGACTGAGCCATCTCTGTTTTTCTCATATACAGTCCTGGTTAGCATGGAACTATGTAGCCTAGGGTGGCCTGGAACTCATGGTCCTCCTGACTCAGTTTAGGGAGTGCTGGGATTATGGATATGTGTTTGCACACCTGACACTGTTTTAAAGGAATACAGGTTAATACTTCTCACTTACTGCCCAGCTACCTGACTACTTCTACTGTTTCTAACACTTGCCCTCCGGAGAGGTTGGTATTTTCATCACCCTTGGTTGCAAGGAGAGGGCTTCCTGCTGGGCAGTGACTGAACTCTACTATTTTATCACCAAGAAAACTACTGAGAAGGCACATACTGGGCCTCGGGATGTGGCTCACTGGAGGACTCCATTCCCAGCACTGCATAAACCAGATGTGGTGGTGGATGTCTCTAACTCCAGCACTCCAAAAGCTGAGGCAGGACCACTATGAATTCCAGGACAGCCTGGGCTACATAATGAATTGGAAATGGAGAGAGGATGCTCAAGAGTTCAAGGTCATGTTTGGCTACAAGAGACTGTCATATATATGAGAGAGAGAGATGGAGAAAGGGAAGAGGGGAGTGGCAGGGTGAGGAGAGCCAAACTCTAGATCAGGAGTTCTCAACCTGTGGTCACAACCTCTCTGGGGGCTGAATGATCATTTCACAGGGGTCACCTAAGACCATCAGAAAACACAGATACTTTCATTACGGTTCATAATAGCAAAATTACAGTTATGAAGTAGCAACAAAAAATAATTTTATGTTGGGACTGTATTAAAGGGTCGCAGCATTAGGAAGGTTGAGAACCAGTGCTCTCGATGCTCAGGAAGTAACAGCGATCACGGGCACCACGGGAGGCCCAAGCAGTCCCTGCTGTGTCACTGACAGGTCAGGTGCCCAGTTGCCTGAGAAGGCTGGGGAAGCCTTCCCTGTCTAGCTGCCCTAGGAAATGGCTTACCAGCCATTCTGGGCCTGGATACCCCAAGGTGTGGGCTCCACGGAGACAGTAACACTGCTGTGACACAAGATGGCACCAGAGCCCACGTGGAAGGAAGCTGGAGGCCTGGAAAGCCCGGGGGAAGAGGGGATGAACAAGCTTCTCTGTGGACATCTGAAGGGTCAGGGGTGGAAGTGGCCTGGTGTCACACCTGTGCTGCCGTCACACCTGAGGCGGCCGGTCTTGGCTTTGACAGGAAGTGGGGCGCCCCACTTTATCTGGGTAAGTCCTGGGGACTGTGGAGACTCAGCAGCAGTGTTTACTTTTGCTTGTTTTCTTAGTCTTGAACCTGGGCGGGTCTCACTGAGCTGCTCAGTCTGGTCTACTCACTCTTTCCTTCTCTAAGATTCACCATGCAGCAGAGATGACCTTGAACTCCTGACCCTCCTGTCCCTACTTCCTGAATGCTGGGATAAAGACCTGGGTCACCTTCTTAGTTGAAGTGCTGGGGAGGAGCCCAGGGCCGTGTGCATGCTAAGAACTGAATTATATCCTGTCCTGTCTCAGCCTCCCAAGTGGTGCCGACCCGTGCCCTTTCCCAGCATGCCTATTGGGTCTTCATATCATTCTTTGTATGTTTGCTTGAAATTTAACACAGTAAATTTAAAAGTTGGGAAATCACTAGGCTTTTCAAGTATGTGGAGCTGCCCTGAGGGCTTATGGCCTGGGTCACACCTTAGGTTGGGCCATAACCGTTGAAGTGTCCCTTTATGGGTGGAGAGCACACTTCTGATGGGCAGAGGCATCCTGAGGTCCCAGTGTGGCAGACCTTTGGCATAATGGTACCAACAATCACAACTCTCCTCCCAGCTTCCCAGGTTGAGGGATAGAACCCAAGGCTCCCCCCCTTCCCCACAGGGTTTCTCTGTGTAGCCCTAGCTGTCCTGGATCTCGCTTTGTAACCCAGGCTGGCCTCGAACTCACAGAGATCCACCTGGCTCTGCCTCGAGAGTGCTGGGATTAAAGGTGTGCACCACCGCCCGGCAAACCCAGGGCTTTTTACACTTTAGGAGAGTACTCTACCACCCAGGCTATAGTCCCAGCCTCTTCTTTACAGGCATGTACTATCAAGTCTGGTTCAAAAGGCATTTCTTTCTTGTATTTCTCCCAGTAGTGGAGGTCTTAACATGCCAAGCAAGCACTCTACAAGCTAGCTATAATCCCAGCTCATCAATATATATATCTTAATGAGCTCTTCACCATCTTCACAGGCTTTTAGCATGAGGTATACACACAGTAGATGATGTAACAGATGTAATAAATGAGCCATTACCACAGACTGTGATGTGCCCACGGGTCACAAGATCTTTATTTGTACTCTTGGCCCCAAAGAAGGACAAGTCTCCCCTGTCCTGTTAGCTCCTCATTGGCTGATGCTCATCTAAACTAGGGTGCCCTGCCTCACGGAGCCCATGCCCCCAGCTCTGTGGGAAGATGTCCAGAAAGCGCATGTGTGAATGAGAGGTGCCTGGGTGGCAGAAGGGGCAGTACCTTTCTTCTCCATCCGCTTCATGTCCATCAGCTTCTCCACGTTGTTGGGGTCATTCAGCCACAGCTGCATGCGGACAAAGGGCTCTCTGCCTTTCAGACTGAGCTTGTGCCAGGGCTTTGGGCGGGCAAGGAGGTCGGAGACAGAGCCCTGGGTGAGCCCCAGGATGGTCTCCCCAAATAAACGCTGACCTGGAAAGCAGATGTGAGAGATGGTCACTGACAGACAGAGGGCAAGCAGGCACTAAGAACCTGAACTGAGACACGTGGTTCAGTCTGGACTGTGGAGGCCTGGCCCCTATCAACACTTTGTAGAAATATTTTCCTTTGGTTTTTACAGGCTGGCTATGGAACCGAGGGCTGTGTGCATGTGAGGGGAGTAGTCTATTACTAAGGCACGCCCTGTCTCTTACTGGAGGATTCTAGGCAGGTGCTCCACTTCAGACCTACAGCTTCAGTACCAAAACATTTCCTTCACTTGTCTTCTCACAGCTTGATTGGCAAGGGAATTTGAATACACTTGCGTTCTACATGTATATGACGGGTGACGAGGCTTTCAGAAAAGCCTCCAGGTAGCAGGTATGGTCAGACACACTTGTAATTCCAGCATTTGGGAGGCTGAGGCAGGAGGACCAGCAGTTTTTCGTCAGCCTGGGCTACATAGGGAATTCCACGTTAGCATAAACTACACATCAATAGCCTCAGGGGAAAAAGGAAAGAAAGGGGAAAAAGAAAGGCTTCCAGGAGCCAGGGGAACTGAGGGTGGAGCGTGCGGTATCTACCAGAGGCAGGGACCCCTAAGCACAAACCCAGAGGCTGGAGTGGCGGCTGCTCAGCTCACAGCAGCTCCTAGCCAGAGGCCAGCCGGGTGTCTTTTTATGATTAGCAAGGAGAATGAGCACTTGACCCCTGGGGCACAGCAGGAGTGGGGGGTCTGGACTCTGGGACTGAAAGGCTGTCCTGCTTCTGCAGTCTAAACTGCCTTTGCTTGATGTGGCTCAGAGAAGCTCAGGCCTCCCCTGGATCCGTCTTCTCCCAGGCAGGGTATGGCTAGGGAGGGTGCAAGAGGTCCCAAGCATGCACCGTGTATGCCACAGGCTTAGAAGAAGGGCTGGAAGGCTGGGAGAGATGGCGTACTGTGTGCAAGCGTGAAGACCTGAGTTAGACCCCCAGCACTCATATAAAAAGCTGGGCACAGTGGTGGGTGCTGTAATCCCTGGGCTGGGGAGGGGAAGGCAGGAAAACCCCTGCAACTCAATGGTCATCAGCCAGTCTGGCCCTAACAGTATGCTCCAGGTCACTGAAAGATCTTGTCCCCAAAATGAAGGTAGAAAGAGTTTGAGGAGGACATCCACACTGACTTCTGATCTCCATGTATGTGTACATGCAGCATGCACATACATACACCAAGGTCTGCTTCCTCATGAAAGCCATTCCTGTGTGGTAGGGAGAGGGCTGCCATTCTTAAAGCTATATATCAGATCTATTATGACCGACATGGACTGATGGGAAAAGCTTGAACGAACAGAAGCTCATTCTGGAAGGTGGAAGTAGAGATTGGGATCAGAAAGGCCCCCGTCTGGTCTAACACAGTATCTGGGACATAGGATGCTAGGCAGAATGTGCCAGTTCCACAGTGCAGCTAGAGATTATGGAGGCTGGCTTACGCTATCTATGGTAATGTCTTCAGCTATGAACTGAAAACACTATAGGGAACAGAGGAAATGATGTGGCACTATATACTATAAATATGGTTGACTGTGTAGCCAAATTTAGTTGAGGGGGCACACCCCCATTTTAACTTAAATTTACTAGGTTAAGGGTATAGTTCAGTGGTAAAGCATTTGCCTAGACTCTTCCAGTGAGGGGCTAGGAATGTGGCTCAGTGGCAGTGTTTGAACATGCCAGGATCCAAGGTTAAGTTGGGAGTACATTTGGATCTTGACCAGGGGTCATCTCTGCTGCCTGATGCAGCTTGACGCTGGCCACTCTGTGCCCACAACTACATCCAGAGTCCTGAGAGAGGCAGATAACTCCCCACAAGCCAGTTAGAGCTACCATGGGAATTACTTCTGATTGCTGCAGTAGCTGATGCCCTCCAGGCTTTCTTGGCAGCTTTTCAGGTTAATAACTGGTCCCATGCAAGACTGGAAGGTCATGTAGACCAGCAGGGCACTGCTCTAGCTTCATGTAATAGATGCCAACTAACTCTCCAGTAGGGATGGAAGCTGGTTAGTGATGCCAGGGAGGAGGCTCCAGTGTCTGTCATTTCCAGACTGCGATCTTACAACTGGGTGGTTTGAAAGGAGGTTTTCTTCTGCTGTTCTCAATGTTTACATGGAAGGATGCTTTCTAACTGGGAGTGGGTAGCAGGAGTAATCGGCCTGCTTCCTTGGACTCGTGACAAGTCTGTGGAGAAGGGGATGACTCAAGTGTAGGAATCCTTCCACATTTCAATAACCGATGAACATATGGGCTTTGGGCTGTTCTCAAATCAGCAGCTAAATTTTCATTTTTTTATGAATGAGCAATGACAGTGGTTCTCAGCGGATGTTCTTTTTTCCTGTGTTCTGTTTGGGACAATGCACTGCACAAATGGGTTAGAGAGACTCAAGATGATGGGGGGCCTGACTCCGACTGTAAGTCACTGGCAGACGTCACTGAAACTCAGTAGCAACTTGTGTTTGTGCGTCTGTGCACACGTTTGTGTGTGTGTATGTGTGCACATGTGGCAGCCAGAGGACACTTTTGGCTGTCATTCCTTAGGCACAGTCCACCTTCATTTAAGTTTTTTTCTTTTATATTATTTATTTAGGGCGTGTGCGCGTGTGCCAGAGGATAACTTGTAAGAGTAGCTTCTCCACGTCTACTCTGTGGGCTTCAGGGATTACACAGGTCATTATGTTTGGCGGCAAGTGCCTTTACCCATGAGCCATTTTTCTGGCTCTCACCCTGTATTTTTAAGACAGTCCTTCCACTGACCTGGACTTCAGCTAGATTGGCTAGTTGGCTAGGGAACCTCAAGGATCCTCCTGTCCCTCCCTCCCTCACACAAGGATCATAAACATGCCACCATGCTTGGCAATTTTTTTTATTTGTTTGTTTTTGTTTCTCGAGATAGGGTTTTTCAATATAACCACCCTAGAACTCACTCTGTAGACCAGGCTGGCTTCGAACTCAGAGATCTGCCTGCCTTTGCCTCCTGAGTGCTGGGATTAAAGGTGTATGCCACCACTGCCTGGCTCAATGCTTGGCATTTTTTTACATGGGTTTTAGGGATTGAATTTGGTGCTTCGTGGCAAGCACTTTACAGACTGAGCTCTCTCTCCAGCCTCAACCGAAATGTTCTTCTTGTCTTATTCTATCCTGGGAAAGGTAAGACATGCAGGTCCCCCAGAAGGTGTTGCATGGTTCCAGCCATTCTGTGGGGTGGTCTCAGGGCTCCTTTCATTGACACTTTCACTCGGGACTCATGAGGACACAGGACGTGCAGAGAAGCTGCAGTTTTTCCTGCCATGCCCTGACAGGAGGGAATGATGACGTAACAATGGCAAGATGCCCTAATATTCTTAGAGCCACAGAGCTCCTATCCGGCAGCAAGAGAGCCCAGGTTAGCTACCGCATGTCTAAAGCATATGGCCTGAGGCTGACACCACGAGGGTGACCAGCTTGGTACTGCAGAGCAGCAGAAATAGCGGCAGCAGGATTAGGTGGCTTCGAGCTGCTAGGTAGGGCCTGAGAGCTACTGAGGGTCACCAGGCTGTGATGGGCAGGATCAAGCCAGCATCACCGAGGGGCTGGCTTACAGGGCACACATGGCTTGCCCCACAGCAGGAGTGGACCTTGTTTTTGATGTCTATGAAGTCACCTAATGCTGCAGGATTGAGCTGATCCACCCTGGGATCCACTATGGATTTAGGCTCACAGGGCGTGTCCTAATACGGGAAGCCTCTGTGGGCCACCTGATCTGCTCTGGCTTATAGGCCATCTTCTAAGGTATGTTGAGAGGGGCCAGGACTGACTCCTAAGGTTCTTGTACTCTAGTGAGTGGGCTAGTATTCACACTGTAAGATATTTCATGGTTTTTTTGTTGTTGTGTTGATGGAACCCAGGGTTTCAAGTATTCTAGGCGGGTGCTCTACCATTAAGCCACGCCCCCAGCACCACACTAGGGATCCTGGGCAGGCGCTCTACCACTGAGCTGAGCCAATCCCCCAGGTCCCTTGTTGGGCAGTTTTAGGCATATGCTCTGCCTCTGAGCCACAGCCCCAGGACCAGGTTCTTATAAAGTATACTGTTACCATTAGGCATGTCCAACATGTAGCTCGACAGTTATCGATGTAGCCCAGTACAAAATCAAACTTAAGAGAGTTCTGTTTTTAATTTCTTTTGTGAACTTTGTGTATAACAACTGTGTGTGGCAAAGTAAAAAAGTTGAATGTTTGGAGATTTTAGGGCCTTTGCCTGGCTCAGCCTGCAGCCCCTTCCCTGACCCTCTCAACCAGATGCCTGGGGACCTGGCGGTGGGGACCTACCGAGGTTGTTGTCCGTCAGCACCTCTTTGACCCTCTTGGTTATGCCGTAGGTGTCCAGCTCGGGAGACATGGCTACTAATTCTTGGATGCTGAGGGCTGAGTGTCCAGAGAGAGGCAGCGGTGTTGTGGGTTGGGAGTCTGAGGCGGGTGGGTCGCTGGGTTCTGGTGGTTTGCCTTCTTTACTGGTCTCAATGGTGGGACAGGGCTGCTGGACCAGCTCGGTGAGACTCTTCACAGATTCGCTGGAGCTCATTGGGGACTCAGGGGCAGGGCTGCAGCTGGCAGAGGTCTTTGGAGTGCTTTCTAGAATTAAACACAGCAAGAATGGCTGCTGAAAACATTCATCTTTCACCACGTGCACTGACTTCGCTTCCTTAGGAAATGTTAATTAAATCCCCTGTTCTAGAAGGGTAGCGTGTGGTAGTCCTCAGGACTGTCTGTTATTTCATAGTTTTTTCATTAAGTGTAACCTCCAATTTTCTGCATTAAAGGAATAAAAATAACACCAACAAAGACAAAAAAATCTACTAAAGGTTCAAATAAAAGGTTTCTGAAGGCTTAATATCAGGGCATTTTGCTAAAAATTATGTCATTATGATTGCTATGATTTGTTCTAATCAAACCCCATGATTCTGGTAATTCAGAGGGACTGAGGGTTGAGCCTAATCTATGTGATTATGTCTTCTGTGTTTTCCAGAACAAAACATATGGACAGGAGGTGGAGCGACGGCTGAGACGGTGAAGTGCCGCCTTGCAAGCATGGGGATCCGAGCTCTCTCCTTAGAGCCATGCTCACAGCCAGGCATGGCGGTGCAGAGCTGTCACCATCCCAGCACCGCGGAGGCAAAGCAGGCTGACCCCAGGGCTCACTGGTCAGTCATCATGGTGTGCTCAGTGAGCTCCAGGCTAGCGAGAGAGACTGTCTCACAACACAAGGTGGTGGCGCCTACGGAATGAGAACCAAAGGTGTCCTCTGGTTTCTACACGATCATTTTTGGTGAGCGTTGCCTAGGAGGCTAGATGGTCATATGGTTACAAAGACTCTGGAGCCCACTGCCTCAGCTGGTGGTCTCCATGGTGGTCCAAGGAGACAAGTCTTGGGATCAAATTGCTGTTTTGTGACACTACCAGAGGTGCTGAGGTTAGTGGAAGAAGAAGGCACCAAAGAAAGGTGGCATGCCTGCTCTGCATCAACCCAGGGGCTTTGTGGTCCTGCTTACTTTAGAGAACCATGCATGCCCTTTGCTCATCGAGACCATACCAGGAGTGTCCCCAGAGCTGGTGTGGAGACCATCAGGCATCACATGCTCCTTGCGCTAGAACAGTCTTGTTGTTGATGGTCACTGATGGTGCCCAGTGGGAAGTGCTAAAACCTGCCTTCTGGCTGAGTGCGATGGTTAACATGGCCAGTGAGAGGATGCAGAACCACTGAAGGGACCAGCCTCGGACATGCCTGGGAGGGGGTTCTAGGCCGAGTAATGGCTGTGGGAGATCCACTCTGGATTCCACGGGCTGGGCGCCTGGACTGCACAGAGAGGAGGAGGTGAGCTGAGCACCAGCGTTCCCTCCCTGCTTCCTGACTGCGGATGCCATGTGGCCGGCGCTCCAGCTCCTGGTGTACCTTCCCCGCCATGACAGGCAGCGGCCCCTCAACCCATGAGCAGCGGCTTCCCTGCCGTCAGCTGCTCTGTCAGGCATCTAGTCACAGCGCCAGGAGAACTAACACAGTGTGCAGCCCGCCTCTCCTGAGTGGTCTCACCCATGAGCCCAGCACACTGCCTGGGGCCTGGTTTGGGGGTGTCTAGAATAAAGACTGGGGCTGGAGAGACGGCTCAGAGGTTTAGAGCACTGACTGCTCTTCCAGAGGTCCTGAGTTCAATTCCCAGCATCCACATGGTGGCTCACAACCATCTGTAATGAGATCTGGTGCCCTCTTCTGGCCTGTAGTCATACATGCTGTATACATAATAAATAAATAATAAATAAATCTTTAAAAAAAAGAAAGAATAAAGACTGGTCGTGTCCTAATTTCCAGTGACACAAAGAGCATCGAGAAGGGAGTGTGAATGACTCCAATCCACAAGACCTAGCCTGTCCTTGGCCTTATTCTGTGTTTGGCACACCTTCTTTCCTCATTTCCACCGAGGCTGACAAAGCATGGGGCCACATAGGAGGGTCAGGCAAAGCGCGGTTACACCAGTGCCTGAGAGATGGCAATTGTATGGAATGTACTTTTCCCTAAGAAGGTCTATAGTCAACACAGAGCAGCTCTAATTGATAGCCATTCCCCCAGTGGCTAATAGGTGACTGACTGACGAGGTTGGCCAGAGGCCAAAGGCAGGGCCTTCTGTGTCTTCTCTTGTTTGCCGCCCCTTCAAGCTGTAACAAGTCCCTGAGTAACGTATCAGCACAGCTGCAGGTAGCCAGAAATACTGTGGCCTGGGCTGGGGCGTGGTCGAGTGAGTGGCGAAGCAGCTGCTGCTGAGCACGGTCAGTGCCTAGAATCATCTATGGCTGTGCAGAGCAGAAACAAACCAGTAAATCACCAGAGGACGAACAAAAAGGGAAACACTGTCATCCTACTGAAACGTTAACAACAGGGAAGACTATTTTCAGCTCATGGCATATACATATGAATATTATTTAGTATGTGTGGTATATGTGCATGTATGTGCAGGTGTACGTGCCCATACAGAGGCCAAAGGATCAGATGTCCTGCTCTATCACCCTTTACCTTTATTCCCTTGAGACAGGGTTTCTCACTGTGCCTGGAGCTAGGCTTGAGGCCAGAAAGTCCCAGTGATCCTTCTGTATCCGTCCCAAGCACAGGGCTACAGGAGGCGTGTAGTAACACCTGACTCTCTCCGTGCCCCCATGCTGGCGGTTTGAACTCATGGAGCAAATGCTGTACCACTAAGCCTCCTCCCCGCACAACTCTTTTCTGTATATTTGGACTAACAAGCTCTTCTGTATCCAGGGAGTGGGGTATACATTAAAAACACAAATATTTTATATGAGCGCCTAGAAAGAACAAAACCAGAAATGGAACCACAATTGAATCCAATAAGCCTGTGTAATGTCCTCAATTGGTACAAAGTCCCACTGTGTCATAAAGTTGTGTGCTCAGCATGGAAAAAAATCAGGTTAAGAAAACAACTGAACTGCTTTGTGAGACATGTAAAAGAGATAAGTGTGGGGGCAGAAATGGCCTGAATCCATCTTTAAGGCAGTATGAAGCCTGTAAATCAGATTTCTTCTCTCCACTTGCCCTTGGGTCACCAGACAACAGGGTCTGAAACCTAGCAAATGCTGTTTGTGTGTCGGAAGCAGCAAAGGAATCGCACTGTGAATTCACCCTGACTCACCCATGCGAGGGGCCCGTTTGGCAGATCATCCATCTTAGTCACTGACTATTGTCCAGAGTAGCATGCATCCCCAGCATGATAAACAGATTTCTCCTAGGTTTGTGTCCTTTAACCCACAGCAAGGTCAAAATCATGGCTGCCTGCGCCTAACAGACAGCACAGGGCTGGTGACTGTCTGGGAGGCAGGTCTTACCCACAGCTCCAGCTGCCCGCTAGTCCTCTCAGAGGTGTGTGCTCAACAGGCTACGCAAGGCCTGCAGAACCCAGCAGGTGTGCACCCAGCATGCCCAAGGAGTGTCCCTTTGCACTCCCCACGAGTGACCAAGGGAAGGCCCCTGCTGAAGAAGTGACACACGCTGCTGAGGCTGGCTAGTGTCTGAGTGTGCTTGGTGGGAGAGGCTTCTTCACAGACACTTAATGTGCTGTAGTCTCAGCTCAGAGAGCTCAACGGCTTACTTGCTGTTGTTTTTAAAGCAAGTCTCATACAGCCTAGGCTGGCCTTGAACTCACTACCTAGCTGGGATTACAGGTATGCCTCACCACACCTGCTTTATTCAGTGCTGTGGACAGGAAGCTGGAAGGTGGAAGGTGGAAGGTGGGATGGAGATGCAAGTTCAAAAGCAACTCGGGAGAGTGTGGAGGGTCCAAAGATAAGTGGTAGGGAGGGTCTGGAGGAGGTCTGGAGTCCCTTGCATGGCAGGATGTGTGATGAGCCATTCAGAGGGGGTGTGCTGTGGGGCAAACTAGGAACACCCCCCCCCCCCAGCTTAAGTGTGGTAGTGGTCACCTGCAATCCCAGTACTACTGAGGCCAACACAGGAAGATCTTGAATTTCAGGCCTTTGGGGGTCATATAGCAAGACTCCATTAAAACAAAAAACCCCATTGGAGATGAGGGCAGGAGATGGCAGCTGGTACAGTGCCTGCCATGAAAGTATGAAGACCTCACACCAGTCCCGAGAACGCCTGTCAGGGGCCACTGAGGTGGCTTTCTCAACAGGTGAAAGCTCTTGCCATCGAGCCTGATAATGACCTATATTTGATCCTTGGGACCCAAGGAGGAGAGAACTGATGTCTGAGGATTATTCACAACGTCACACATAGGCACCTACACACATCAGTCACATCCAAATAAATAAATATAAAACAAGTTAGGAAAGCAGCCTTCCAAACCTCACATAAACAAGCAAACACCAACAGGCTAAGTGCAGTGGTAGGTACTTGTAATACCAGGCCTGGGGAGATAGAGACAACAGATCCCTAGGGCTCCTGGGCCAGCCAGCCTAGCTGAACTGGCCAGCTCCAGATTCAGTGAGAAACCTTGTCTCAAAAAATAGGGTGGAGAGAAACAGAGGAAGACTTGTCACTGACCTCTGGCCTCCACATGTACCATGTGCATTTGAGCCCCATATGAACATGTACATGTGTGCACATGCACACAAACAAAAAACAAGTGAAAAAGAAACCCTATTTTGTGATCATGTGTCACACCAGCCACCCTGGAAGTGACACTGATCAGGCTTACTGTGCACAGGTCCAGGGTGACGCTTAGGAAAGGAATTCATGCACTCAATCCTCATGACCACCTCCCAATGCACAGCAGGGGCGACCTGGACACACTCGGACGTCTCATCCTCCCGATGCCCAGCAGGGCGGCCTGGACACACTCGGACGTCTCATCCTCCCAATGCCCAGCAGGGCGACATGGACACACTCAGACGACTCATCCTCCCAATGCACAGCAGGGGCGACCTGGACACACTCAGATGTCTCATCCTCCAGAGCCACCTGCAGTTGCCCGGTGCTCACCCTGTGCTGAGTGTCTGCTCCAGGCCTGTCTTTCTGGGCAGTGATTCTACAACACACGTGTGTCACAGCAGGAATCTCAAACATGGTGATGAGTCAGTCATGGCAAGTCAGTCATGGCAAGGGTCAGGGA